AATAACATCCACAATGTAGCCATATGGGGTTTGAGAGTTGTGTTTAGGGAGAGAACTTTACGGGACAAGTGTTAGTGCGTCACTTGTGTTTGCCTATTTGTGAGGTTGTTCTCTCGATATTTTGTACTCTCTTTTATATAGTGGATTACTCATCTCCACCATGGAATAAGTCAATTGGCCGAACCACATTAAATATTTATGTCTATTTTGGTATATTTCTCTTTTGATGTCTGATGTACCGTTGTTCAAGGTTTGCTTACTAGCTTCGGCATGATACCTGATTTTTTCGGTCCTAGCACATATTTGATGTGTGGAATAGAAAATTTTGAGGTGTAGTGGCTCTGATGAGTTGGAATCTTCATTTAGGACCGGATACAAATACAAGATGTAGAGTCGCCGGAATCATAATGTGTGAGATTTTATGTCTAAACTTTAATTTTTCACATATATACACACAATTCCAGTTAAAAGTAATATATTTAGACGAACTAATAGAACTCGCCCTAAATCTCGTATTTCTAGGACCAGAATTGCGAAATGTTAATGCTTTGCAGGTGTCATTTTGAAAGGAAGAAAGAAGTGATGGGGAACTTATTCCCAACAAAAAAAGATATTGGAGACCTCAAATTATGTACTCGAAATTTGTCAGAAATTGGAAGAAATAGAGTGGTTAGAACCAAAAGAGCAAAGAAAAAGGTCAATTTGGGGATATGTTCCAGAACCATAGACGTCCATCAACACATCATATTATAGCTCAAAGATTCGAGTGCAGCTTTTAGTGAATGAGAAGCATCTTCTATGCATTTCTGGTGGCCAACGAAAGGAAGTTGGCAATTCTTTTAACTTAGGAAAACACCATTTTTCAAGGTTGCTCATTGCTTGGAAAAATTTACTACCAAAAGCTGAGTTCCTTGAAATTAATATGATGAATCTTAAAAGTGATTTGGTTGCGCTTTTATAATTTTACTTGAAAGGGTAGTGTATCAGTCTTAGTCAAGTTTATTTAAAAAAATAAGACTACTAAATTAAAGTTCCGCAGGTATAGACTATAGATAGGCACATAAAATGAAATCATGTTTATTGAGGGCCATGTTATGTTATTTACGCTCCAAAGACCTGTGAAGCAAGGGAGTTAAGAGTTCCTACATTGCTGAATTTTTTCAGTTATTGTCTCCTATAACTTTAGACAATCTAAATCTTATCATATAGTTTTTGAAGTTGAGATAAAATCAACGAAAAGGAAAAAGAAAATAAAAAACCACGCTGAGGTAAATCAGTGCTGTTAAATGATAAGGCCAAGTCAATGTGGACTTGGGTGGCTATGATTCAACAAAATTTTCAGGAATCATTGTCTTTATGGTTGTGAAACTGAAACACACAAATCAAATCTCTGATCAGGTGAAATAGAATCCAAAGATATTTTCAGTTTAAAGGGCCTAGCTAGACCGTATCTAAGAAAAGCAATACACGAGAAAAAAAAAAAGCAATCATTTTATCCCATGGTTATGGTGGCTACAATTTTGAAAATAATGACACCATATCCACACATATCAAAAGAGTCCAATTTTCTTGTTTACGCAATGTGTTACGACCACACATAGTTCTTTATTTCTAGACTAGATTCCCTAATTCTCTTGAACGTTAACAACTTCCAAAGTATTATAGTACTATAATTTACTTTTTTGCATACCAATAGTGTAAAAGTAACTTTTTATGATACGCTGGGAATTAGTTACCTAAAAAATAAGGTAAACAATCAGCTACAATTGGTTAAAATGTAGTGATTATAGCGTAATATTTTTACGTGTATTTATGCATAGGCTAAATACCCTAAATGTTAACATTAACATTAGACAATTTGACGGATTGCAATTAAATTGATATCAAATTGCAAATAATTTTATTAATAGGGTCTGTGTTGTGCACGTGGCCATGTCGAAAACTTTGGGTCTAAGATGTCTCAGTCTGTTAATCTCATTTTTTTTTTTTTGGACAAGAGTGAGTTATTTTAGTGGTAAACACCCTCCACTTTCAACCAAGAGGTTGTGAGTTCGAGTCACCCCAAGAGCAAGGTGGGAAGTTCTTGGAAGGAGGGAGCCGAGGGTCTATCGGAAACAGCCTTTCTACCCCAGGTAAGGTAAGGTCTGTATATACACTACTCTCCCCAGACCCCACTAGTGAGATTATACTGAGTTGTTGTTAATCTCATTTTTATACTCTTCTTCAGCTGCTCACATATTTTAATGGTATAGATTAATAGAAAGCGTCATGATTAAGTTCCTTCGCATGCTAATCAAAAGATTCTTGATTATATGTCCATTAACCTCAAGTCCTCAACAAAATATGGTTAGCTGTCCGCTTCTCAATAATTCTTCCACTCTGACATGTATAATCTAATGAAACCTTAATAACCCAGCACATGTGCTTCCACTTTTTATATTCGACTTAATTTTTATTTGTACTAACTTCAATTTTTACATCCCAAGATTCTTGGCTATATACCCTTTAACCTTTAATAATTAAAAGTGTCTCTTTTAACAGGCACCCAATAATTGACATAATAGTTGCTGAAGTAGAAATGAAGTTCACAGGATCGAATTTGATTCCTAGCAAAGAGAAAGAAAATTACGATTGGTCCAACACTATTATTATAAAAAGCCAAAAAAAATCTTATACTTTAACATGAGATCTTGGCACCTAGTCCTACCATAACTCATAAGCAAATATATTTCTATGTACTCGATTGAACATGTTACAGACCTAAAATAAAGTATCTTTTTTTTTGTGCTAATAACTTAAATTTTTAATGAGATAATGCATACTTTAAAAACAAATCAATGAAATATGGAGGAAGAAAAAAACAAAAGTTTGAGCAATGTATAATAATTCATTGCTACATTATTTCTCTTTAAAAGCTAGGGGAACCGGTGGCGGAGTCACCTTATAGGAAGATGTGTCAAATGACACCCTTTCGCGGAAAAAATACACTGTATAGCTAGGTAAAAAAATAAATTATATGTATATATACTATATATTGACTCCCCTTAATTTCCTGATATGTTTCCTTTTATATATTTTGACATCCCTTAACGAAAATTCTGGCCCGGGAAGGAGTTGTAGAAAATTAACTTGTGGAGCAGGCAAAGCTTCAGCTAAAGAGCAAAGCTTTCAATAAAAAGGACAAGTGTCTCAGGTTCATGCACAATCCTTCTAAAGTGAGCAATCTGCGTTGTGACATTTGAGTCCAAGGGTCCATTGATAGCCATTGAAGAAATCAAAAGTAGAACATGCCAAACCCTCCACATTTTTGTCTATCTCAAAGAGGTCCCACTTTATACCACAACAGAAACTTGGTACTACATATTTTTAGAATTTTAGGACCCCCCCCATCCCCCCATACGTTGTTGGTTTTTGTTTGGGGGAGGGGGGAAATTAAGGAGAGTTGTTGTAGAGTTTCTTGAGTCAACAAGTGGACCGTTTGGTTTGAAATTGGACCATATATGTCAAGATAGAAACAATGACAAGGAAACTTGAGAGTCACAAAAACACGGTAAGAAGATACAATTATTCAAAGTTTGGTTGTGCTGGCTGGTAGCTATAGTATTGGTCATTAAATTTGGGTCCTCTTTGACATTATTTTTGGTTAGCTATAAAAGGCCACTCAAGTAGTTCTTACATAGGGAATAGATTATATTTCCTTTTCTTAACGTCGTGCCACTAAGAAGAAAATCAGTAATATCTTACTTTAATTGGTAAGAGCTTGTTTTTGGGACCATGGGTAACTCGGCATATTATGTGAGCAGGTAAGGTAAATACTGTTATCTTGATATAGTTTTGGACTATTAGACCAATGGTCTTTTCTTGAGTTCTAACAACCACCAATAACAAACCCAGTGTAATCCTATAAAATAAAAATTAAAAGGGAGTAGAGTGTACACAAATTTTACCTCTATTAAGTGAAGATAGAGAAGTTATTTCCAATAGGCTACAAGCTGTAAAGTCTTTTCTGGAGCGTTACAAAGAAAAAAAAAAAAGACTTTGTTCCGGCATGAGCTATTTGGCTAAAAATCAACCTTCTACAACATATAAACTGCATTATTCGTGTAAAAATCTTTTTTACAGAGCTCGGTGAATCGCCCGTCGACGTAATAGGTGGTGGTATCACACACTTTCCCAAAGAAACTGTATGTGACACTAAGATGAAATCAAAGAAAATGTGATTAATAAGCCTCTTATCTTATTTGTTGTAGGAATGAGCATCATGTCATGCATTCTTTTATTGTATTTGGTGAAAAAACCATTCTTGTTTGCCAATGAATAAAACCATGACTTTTCTATCATCACCTATAATTAGGATTTAGGGGTGTCAAATGGGCGAGTTGTATTGATTTTGGACGGGTTAAAATGAGCTGAGACAATAAATGAACGGATCATTTGACCCGCCCAAAAGTAACTTGGATTGAGATGAGTTGGGTTAAGTTGTGCTAAAATTTGGGTCATAACCCAACCCGCACAACTCTTACCAAACTTTAATTAATGTGTACTGTTTTCTTATGAATTGTTTAATTATCAAATACGACTTTTATTCTTTTGTTATTGTCATATTAACATATCAAACAAAAAGATAATGTTTTTTAAAAAATATTTTAATAAAGTTGCTCATTGATCAATTTGGGCTAAAAATCAACCCCTTTAGATGAGTTGAAATGGGTTGGGTTGAGTTCAACAAATGAGCGAGTCAATAACCAGCCTAAGCTTAGATGAGTGGGACGGGTCAAATGGGTTTGAGATCAAATTAGTATCCCTACCTATAATTGGGAGCTGTCCTGTCCAATCATCATTTTCCCTCATCTTGATTTCGGCCACATCTGGCTTTCATTATTTTCAACTAAACAAAAATAAAGACGCAGTAGATGAAAAAAAGTAATTAAAACAGATTAACATCCAGAAAGTAAGGACAAATATAAGGAATCTTTAGTCTATGCAGTAATACTTGTAACTTAGCAGACTCCCAAGCATGAAATAATCAATTAAAAATTTCCAAGAACGAACTCCAGGATTGATGTCAACAGCAGGATGGAAACATGAAAAACTAGCTACCTCATGTTATGTACAACTAACTCTTCAAGATTTATTCATAACGACGATCTATCACTGCCAATATTCTTTCCCTGCATCTATCTGATATATAACAAAGAAGCTTTTAATCTGAAAATTTCCCTATTTTATCTCCAAGTCCATGAACTCATCTTTACCTTCTCTTCAGGTCTTGAAATTCCCTGGAAATGCAAAAGAAACAGAGCACACTATAGTTTTAGATAATATTATTGGCAGGGGCGGAGCTAGAGTAGCGGAAGAGGATCACCGAAAAATTACACCGTAATATAAGGTCAAAATTATTTTTTATATATAAATAGTAGATGTCGAATCCCCTTACATATTAATAGTATAATATTTCGAGAAAATCCGGGCTCCATTAATCAATGGGGAGAAAAGTATGATGAAGAAAATTAAAGACATATACGAAAATGGGATCGAACATTTTCATCTGTTCTGTTAGGTGAAAACCCAATAGTTGAATTGGAGGCACCAACTACTCTTCTCCTATAAAATCTGCTAGTAGACTCTTCACTACTTGAAGAAGAGCTTGACGCCAATGGCGGATGACGAGGCTGATCAGTAGTTGAAAAAGACAAAGGAACCACTTGATTATCACCATCATCTTCGTCACTGCTTCCGTCATCTTCTTCTTCATCTTCATCTGTATCATTATGATTTGCCCTATCATTATTTCTGTGAAAACAAGTCTGGCAAACTGAAACAGTAGGACCAAGTTTAGAGCCAGAGCCAGTCCATGGGGTAAGTGATTGGCAAGAATTGCACAGAAGATTTCTTGAATGCTTAGCCACTAGGAAATTAGCTGCGTGAACTCTGGCATCACAATCCCAACAAAGACTGGCTTGATCTGATTCACAGTAAACTCTTGCTATACTATTGCATAACTCGCATTTCTTCATTGCTCTCTTTAGCCTCTTCTGTAGAAGCACTTCACTGAATTATCACACATATAAAATAGATGCTAAAGAGAGAAAATATTTTTTATTTTGCTAGCTGAAATTTGGGTCTATTTTTAGATCTCCGGAGACTGTGAAAAATATGATGTTACATACAAAAATATAAATGTGTACAAGACTACAACCCAGAGTGGCCCTTATATAGAAAAGGTAAAAAAAACTTAGCAGTCACATCACGAACCCCCCGCAACCCCAGGTCATCAACCACACCCCTTATCTTTTTTAAATTTTGTTAGTGTCTAACAAGTAACAACTGTCAAATTACTAAAAATAGTTTTTCTCAAGTTTTAAGCTAATTCTTGAGCCAAGAAAAAATCTGGACTAGTTTTGGGTGTGGTATTGTGGTTTACACTCTCAGAGTTTTTATACCATTTAATTAAGTTGACCTATACTATTATGCAATTATAGCAAGTCCAATATGGTAAACTGAAATTAGAGCAGTTATCTATTATAACAAGTTAAATAACATTGATATTGTAGATTTTTTCTTTTCATTTGCGCCGTATATTACTATTTACGAAATAATGTTACATCTTTAATGTAATTTGATAAGCTATAATAGCTCAAACACATTCCTAATGCTAGTGAACATATTCTAATAGTTAACTGTAGTCTGACCTGATTGTGTATATATATTTCATATAGCAAGCGAATAAAACTTTAAGTTCTTCTACGTATTAATTGAATTTGTAAAAATTGGGATGTTGTTATTGGGTGTCGTAGAAGCAAATTCTATACTTATTTTATTAAAGATGAAACATTGCCTATGGAACCCATGAATGAAGATTCATGGAACCATTCTAGCGAGGTGCTACTTGTAGAAAATTAATATGCTTTATGAAATACTGTTTCTAATTTAGATCGTCAATTAGAAAGACAAAAATTTATTCCATATTTATAGTATAATTTTTTAATGTTTTAAGCTTTGATTAAAGTTTTTGCCGTATTTTCGGCAATTTTTGAATAAGTGTTCGCTAACACTTTTCTTGACCTGAAATTTTTTCTTTTCTTTTGCCTTAAACATATTTTCTCGTCTTTCATTTATCACTTCTATACGTACATCGGTACATGTCTACCAAATTCAAATGACTCTTTTTTTCCCCTTCCGTTTAATCACATCTCTCCACGGGAAAATTGGCTTTCATGGTTGATAGAATTTAAGAGTTCACCAAACTATATAGAGAACCGGGTTCTCTATTAGCTCCCACAGAACACACGCACACTGCAGTAGGTAAATGACACAAGGAAGTTTTACGTGAAAAACTCCAGCTCACGTGATTAAAAACCACGACCTACCCTTGTAGGATTTCAACTTCACTACTGAGCAAACTTTAGATTACAACCTATTGTAATCTAGGAATTAACCTCTTAATCTCTCACTAACTTGTAACAACTCTATTACAAGCCACTTTGTAATAACTCTATTACAAAGACTTCTAACTCAACTAAACTAGCCAAGACACAAACACAAGGGTTTATGATTTACAAAGGTTTCCTACACAATGCTTCTAACTAAGCGAAGTAGGAATTACAAGTATAGAACTTTAACAAAGGTACAACACAACTAAGGACATGTAATTACTCAATACAGGGAACTGGTCCATTGTTATGTTGTTCTTTGTTCTTGATGCTCTTGAGAATCGCTTGCCAGATTGATTGGTCACTTGAGAGAGTGCTTGATGGATTCTTCAAAAGTTCAAGTGGTGTTTTGTCTTTGGTTTAATGTTAATATAACATTGGTGACATCACTTGAATGATGCAAGCATGGATGGTACAGGATCATTCCCAATGAAGTTGACTGCTGCACTGTTGCGTGTGCAGGTAGCAACTTTACAACTGTTAGAGAGTTGACTAGTATGATCACCAGGGAAACTAATGTCCATCTGTTCCCCTTGTTGATTCTTTGACTCCTGAAGCATTGATTTACAATTCCAGCTTAAGTCTTGTTGCCACATACTTGAGGATGTGTATCAGGTTTCTTATCTGGTTCTTGTCATTAAGTTTGTTAGATCATCAAAACATAACAAGGTACATATAACCTATCAATTTCCCCCCTTTTGATGATGAAAAACTTATAATTGAAGTTCCCCCCTAAGAACCAAAATGACATACACACGTATCCTGTATTCCCCATGAATATGTTCCCCAGCTTGTTCCCCCTTAATTATTTTCCTCCCTTTTGGCATCATAAAAATATCAGTAGCAAGCAATAAGCAAAAAGAAGTCTAGCTTGGTTAATTCATGCCACATGTGTGCACACAATCGTGACTAAAAACAAAGCAAAAGAGCAAGACATACACATCAAAATGATGAAACTTCTATTAATTTTTGGAAAGTAAGCAGGGTGTAGTTCCATTGTTACCAGCACATCCACAAAATAAAAACAGCAAAGACAGAAGTACCAGTCATAAACATCATCAGAACTAAAACAAAGGGCAGAAACTAGGATTTGATACTGGAAAGGGAACACGTTCAAGGGAGCATTGGAAGGGGAATGCATAGAGAAAGAGGCAAGGGTTTTGAGGACGATGTCCATTCGAGCGTTTGCTGACATCTGCTCATTGAGCAGTTTCTCCTTCATGTCCTCAACCTGTTTCTTGAGATCGGCATTCTCCTTAGTCAGATGGGCAACCTCTGTGCTTTGAGAGCTACTAGAACCATGTGCCTCCTGAAGCTGACTTAGCTGACCCTCAAGAATGGCATTCCTTGCCTTCAGCTTCCTGATCTCATCAGTGACACTGTTTTGGGCGTTGATAAACTGGGAGATAGTAAAAGTGCTGCCAACCCCTCCAACTTTATCAATATACTCACACTCCTCTAGAGTGGTCTTAGAGAATATTTGCTTACGAGTACCCACCTTAGCTTTTCCCAGAGGGACATTGAAGAACTCAAACACCTTGGTGAGAAGGAACCCATAAGGCAACCCATGATTACCATCCTTAAACTCTGCTACCTTCCACATGTGTTCTATCATAATGCCAAGCAGGTTAATGGTGGTGTAGCCATCCAGTGCTTCCATGAGAACCAGGTCTGCTCGAGATGTAATTGACCTTCTCTCAACACGAGGTGTTTCCTGGTGTTCAGACATGGTGGGAAGCAATGAGTTGAAGAAGAGATAATTTTGGTTTAAATAGAGAAAATAAAGGGAAATTTTGGATTTTTGATATGAATAGTGGTGGAAGTGATGGTGAAAGGATGTATTTAAGAAGGATGAGGGACAGGTTAAGAAAGGCGGCAGTTTGGGTAGTCGGGTCGCTCCCTAACGGGTGAGACGCTTGGGTTCAAAAATCGGGAAAGAAAAGAAACTGACAATGTGATGACGTGGCACCGTTTGAACCGTTTAAAAATTGTGAATGAGAATACAGAGAAACTACTAACCTATGTCAAAGGAACCAGGTTCCCTGACGGATTTTGCAAATGTAAGCTTCATCCTTTGACCAACGTGCAATGCAGTAGTTGCTTGTTTGCTCTATAATCATCATGCGTGTTTACCTGCAACAATATATAAATGAGTTAGACTTTGCCAGAAAATACTTTTTAGCTAAACTACCTGTACATTTCTTTCATAGCCAAGCATCGAGGGACCAGGTTCTCAGCTTGGTTTTATCAGCCCTAGTGCCAAGTGATTTCTTTCAAAGTGCTCTCTATTTAGTGCTTTGGTGAATATGTCTGCAATTTGATCTTCTGTGCTGCAATGTTTCATACATGTGAGCCCTTTTTCAACATTGTCTATGCGAAAGTGGTGACGCACATCAATGTGCTTTGTTCTCTTATGTTGAACTGGATTCTTGGCCATGTTGAGTGCACTGGTATTGTCACACAGCAAGGGCACACAATCAGAGAACACTCCAAAGTCTTCCAGCTGCTGCTTAATCCATAGTAGTTGAGCACAACGAGATGTATCTTCCACATATTCTACTTCTGTAGTGGAGAGGGCCACTGAGTTTTGTTTTCTTGTACCCCATGAAATTAGACATGAACCCAGAAAATGTGCCGTTCCAGATGTGCTTTTCCTGTCCACCAAATACAATGCATAATCAGAATCAACATACCCAACTAAGTCAAAGTTATCTCCAGAGGGGTAGTAGAGAACCATGTCTTGTGTTCCTTTGAGATATCTCAGGATTTTCTTGGCAGCCTTCAGATGAGATTCCTTTGGATTAGATTGAAACCTGGCACAAAGTCCCACACTGAAGACAATATCTGGTCTGCTTGCTGTGAGATACAGGAGTGACCCTATGATACCTCTATACAAGGTCTGATTCACAGGAGAACTAAGTTCACCCATGTCTAGACGAGTGGCTGTGGCAATGGGAGTGTCAATGATTTTTGATGCTTCTATGTCAAATCTCTTCAGCAGCTCCTTGATGTACTTTTACTGACTTTTCAAAGTCCTCTTTTGAGATTGTTTCACTTGTAAACCCAAGAAAAAATTCAATTCCCCTATCATGCTCATTTTAAACTCACTTCCTATGAGTTTTGCAAATTCCTCACACAAAGAATTGACTATTGCTCCGAGAATAATGTCATCAACATAAACTTGCACAATGAGCAGGTTCTTCCCATGTTTTTTCAGAAAAAGGGTGTTGTCAATTTTTCCTCTTGTAAAGTCATTCTCTAGAAGGAATTTTGACAACCTTTCATACTAAGCGCGAGGAGCCTGCTTTAGTCCATATAAAGCCTTGTCAAGTTTAAACATGCTCAGGATGCTCATGATTCTCAAATCTAGGAGGTTGCTTGACGAAGACTTATTCCTTTAGAAAGCCATTCAAAAATGCACTTTTGATATCCATTTGGAACAATGTGAGTTCCATATGTGATGCAAAGGCAATAAGAATTCTGATAGACTTCATTCAAGCGAGTGGAGCGAAAGTTTCATCACAATCAATCCCTTCTTCCTGATTGTAGCCTTGAACTACTAGTCTTGCCTTGTTTCTTGTGGTGTTTCCAAACTCATCAAGTTTGTTCCTGAATACCCACCTGGTTCCAATAACAGTACAATCCACAGATTATGGAACCAGGTGCCATACCTTGTTTCTCTCAAATTGATGGAGCTCTTCTTGCATGGCAGTAATCCAGTTTGTATCTTTTAATGCTTTTTTGATATTTTGGCTTTATTTGATAAAGCAAGGTTGAGAAGGCAAGTATGTTTCGAGCCTTTGATCTAGTTTGAATTCCTGAATCAAGAGGAGTGATTATGTTTTCAAGATGGTGTGAACCTTTGTGCTTCCAATTTGGTACCTGAATCTCATTGATAGAAGATCCAGGTATATCTGACTGTGGTTCTTGGCCGCTTCTTATCTTAGCATGTGGGGTGCCTTAGACAACATCGACAACTCTATTCTCAGCTTCAGTTGTCGTGATTGTGGGACCAACTTCCTCTCCACCAGTTGGAGACATAGTCACACCATCTTCATTAGATTCCTTGACGTGACTCATCATGTCAGCCTTTCCATTTGCCATGTCAATAACTTCACCAGGGATATTTTATAGCTCTCCATCTTGATTAGCCTTATCATGTGCAGCTTTTCCAAGAGGGCGCTGTGCTTTGTCAAAGATCACATGTATGCTTTCTTCAACACATTGAGTTCTTTTGTTATATACCTTATAGGATTTGCTTTGTGATGAATATTCTAAAAATATTCCTTCATCACTCTTGGCATAAAACTTTCCCAGAGCTTCCTTACCATTATTGAGAACAAAGCATTTACAACCAAATATCCTCAAGTGTGTTAGCTTAGGTTTTCTCCCATTCAGCAATTCATACGGGGTTTTGTTCAGGAGGGACCTGATCATGCACCTGTTCACCAAGTAGCATGCAGTGTTGACTGCCTCTGCCCAAAAACCCTTTGCAACACCACTATCAATCGTCATTGTTCTTGCCATGTCTTCAAGAGTCTTATTCTTACTCTCCACAACACCATTTTGTTGTGGTGTTCTTGGAGCTGAAAAATTATGAGTAATGCCATTTCAACACAGAATTCGTCGAATTTGGCATTATCAAATTCTGTCCCATGGTCATACCTGATATATACTACGTTTTTACCCATCTTCACTTGGATCTTCTTGACAAATGCAACAAATACTTGGAAGGTTTCATCCTTGGTTCTGAGAAACAAAGTCCAGGTGAATCTGGAGTAGCCGTCCACAATGATGAAGATGTACCTTTTTCCTCCTCTGCTTGGCACTCTCATAGGTCTACATAGATCCATATGGAGAAGATCAAGTGGCCTTGAGGTACTAACTTCCTTTTTGGGCTTGAAAAAGGATCTGACATGCTTTCCTTTAGCACACGCATCACACACCTTGTGATCCTTGAATATTAACTTGGCTAGACCATGAACTAGGTCCTTCTTGACCAGTTTGTTCAGGAGTGAGAAACTTGCATGACCGAGCCTTCTATGCCATAACTCAGCATCATTAACAACAACACTTAGACAACTGAGATCACCACTCTGCAGGGACTCAAAATCAGCAACATGGATGCTTTTGTATCTTTTCGCCACTAGCACCCCTTCACCAGTCAGAAGATTTGTGACTGTGCATATTTTTGACACAAATTCCACCTAGTTTCCCTTGTCACAGATTTGGGAAACACTCAACAAGATGTACTTCAATCCGTTGACATAGTACACATTTTCAATAGAATGAGAGAGTGACTTCCTAGTCCTTTCAACTCCCAGAATGTATCCCTTTTTGCCATTTCTAAAGGATATACTCCCTCCTTGCAGGGCTTTCAGTGAAAGAAAATCGATTGTACTTCCAATCATGTGCTTTGAGCAACCACTATCCATATACCATTGCTGGCTGCTTCCCTTCACTGCTCCCTGCACAAGGAAATCAAGGGTTAGATTTAGGAACCCAAACAAGTTTGGGTCCCTTATAATGAGAAAAAGGGATGAATGAGAGTTCTTTTGGTCCAAGCAGGCATCATGCGTCTTTTATATGAGGGACTAGGTTCTCTAGCGGTAGTTACCTTCTTAGCAAACACTTTGTTTTTCTGTTGAGACTGAAACTTAGCCTTACATGTTTCCTTAAAGTGCCCAGAGTTACCACAGTGAGTGCAGAGCCAATGTACTTTCTATGAGGGTTGTAGAGAGTTTTTTCCCTTTGGAACCTGATTCCCTGCCTATTTCCCCCCATTGTTTGTGTACATAGCAGTGATAGCATCAGAGGACCAGGTCCACTTGAGTGATTTTTCAAGATCACTCTTGACTTTACCTAGTTCTTCTTAAAGTTGTTTGTTCTTCTCAAGTTCAGCACATAGACTAGATTTCACCAATTTTATCTCATCTTCAAGCCTAAGATGTATTTCATCTGCAACTTCCTTTCCCTTTTGAAGAATCTCATGCCTACCTTCTCCTTTTAGTTCCTCAATTATATCCTTCAAATCTACAACTACTACTAATAGATCATCTCTCTTATGCTTTATGCTAGCAACCTTTTCAGTCAAGGCTTCTTTCTCTTTCTTAACACACTTAATGGTCTCCTTTAGATCTACCACAACAACCACTAGATCATCTCTCTCATGTTCTACATTTGCAATTTTTTCAGTTAAAACATCCTTTTCTTTCTTCAAACTCTCAATGGTTTCTTTTAAATCTACCACAATAACTACTAGGTCATCTCTTGACTATTCTGCTTCTCCTAGTTCAAGAGTCAATGCATTTTTATCATTTATAAGACTGTGATAAGTATCAATTAAAATATTTTCCAGAGATATAAGTTTTTAGGAGAATAGGACTTCAGATTTCTTTGAACATCTAGAAAATTTACTTCATCATCATCGGACTATGCCATCAAGGCAAAGATGGAGTCATCATCAGCTGCTTCACTTTCCACTGCCATCATGGAGCTGTCACCTTGATCATCATTTTCTTCAGATTCGCTGGAAGAGTATCCCCATGCAGCAAGAGCTTGTTTCACAACATTGTCAGCGATATTTTTCCTCTTGAAGCGTTTGTCAGGAACCGGATTCCTCTTAGCTGCTTTGTCTGTGTTGTGTTTGTATTGATCTTGCTTGAGGAGAGGACAATCCTTGATGAAATTTCCTGGATTACCATACTTATGACAAAGGTCATAATTTTTTGGCTTGCTGGAACTGCCCCTTTTTGGAATGCCTTCATTTCTGCGAACCATTTTCTGGAATCGTTTTGTCACGTAAGCCATATCAGCATCCTCACCACCTGGATCATTGCTGTATATCTTGAGGACCAAGTTCTTCTCCCTTTGGGCTCTCTTCTCTTCTTCTTCTTCTTCTTCTTCTTCTTCTTCTTCTTCTTCTTCTTCTTCTTCTTCTTCTTCTTCTTCTTCTTCTTCTTCTTCTTCTTCTTCTTCTTCTTCTTCTTCTTCTTCTTCTTCTTCTTCTTCTTCTTCTTCTTCTTCTTTATTTCATAGGTTTTCAGATTGCCAACAAGTTCATTGATGGTTAGCTTCTGCAGGTCCTTTGCCTCTGTGATAGCATTCACTTTGCTTTCCCAGGAACTGGGCAAAACACTAAGTATTTTCCTGACGAGTTTGTTTCTTGGAATGATTTCTCCTAGAGAGTGAAGCTCTTTGATGATAGAAGTGAACCGAGTTTGCATGTCCTGAATGGATTCATCATCTTTCATTCTGAAAAGCTCATATTCTGTGGTAAGCATGCTAATCTTTGATTGCTTAACTTGTGTTGTTCCCTCATGGGCTATTTGGAGAGCCTCCCAGATCTCCTTAGCAGATTGGCATGCTGATATCCTGTTGTATTCATCAGGACCAATACCACGAACAAGAATTTTCTTTGCATGAAAGTTCTTTTCTATAGCCTTGTGGTCAGCATCATTGAACTCCTTTCTTGTTTTGGGGATTGTTACAGCTGGGTCGCCACTGGTTTTTGTGGGGACGAAGGGTCCATCGCAAATGACATCCCAGAACTCTGAGTCTTCAGCCATGATGAAGTCGTGGATCCTAGTCTTCCACCATCCATAGTATTGGCCATTGAATCTTTGTGGCCTGTAGGTAGATTGACCTTCTTCGAAGTTTGGTGGAGCAGCCATGAGGATCCTTTCTAGGTGTTAGCCTGATAGAAAGAACCTGCTCTAATACCAATTGATAGAATTTAAGGGTCCACCAAACTATATAGAGAACCGGGTTCTCTATTAGTTCCCACAGAACACACGCACACTACTGTAGGTAAATGAGACAAGGAAGTTTTATGTGGCAAACTCCCAGCTCACGGGATTAAAAATCACGGCCTACCCTTGTAGGATTTCAACTTCACTACTGAGCAAACTTTAGATTACAACCTATTGT